CAGCTCCTGCTGAAGGACAACCACAGCAGTGAAACATGGTGTTTGCAAAGAAAAGATTAAAAACATCTAAATATTAATAAAGACAAAGATAAAATGGGTAATTATTGCCAGAACTCGTTGATTTGCAGGTGCTGGGGGCTGGTGCAGGCCTGATGTGTGTTGTGGCCCAGATCTATCACTTCTACCTTGGAGGAGCTGGGAAAGCCCATCCTTGCAAAACACTTTGTCACTGTTCAGGTGCTTCAGGCTGCCAAACAAAAAGCAAACACAAGTGGCAGGGAAAGGTGGTGCTGGTGGAGCTTCAAGTCCCCTCATCTGCCCTGAGCCCTGATGCCTCCAGCCCAGGAGCTGAGAGTGGCCCCTTCTCCTGTGTGACCTTTTCTGGAAAGAGCTGGTACTGAAGTTCTGGCCCTCAGGATTTGTTCCATGTATTTAGTTTGCAAACAGATGTTTAGATACAGGGAGAGGGACTTTTTATCATACAGGGAAGCTGGGGAGGGACTTGGGACAAGGGCAGGGAGTGAGAGGACAAGGGGGAAGGGATTAAAACTGGACGATGGGAGATTGAGGTGAGACATGAGGGGGAAATTCTTTTCTGTGAGGGTGGTGAGAGCCTGGCCCAGGCTGCCCAGGGAAGCTGTGGCTGCCCCATCCCTGGCAGTGTTGAAGGGCAGGTTGGATGGGGCTTGGAGCAGCCTGGGCTGGTGGGAGGTGTCCCTGCCCATGCAGGGGGGTGGATCTAGATGATCTTGAAGGTCCCTTCCAACCCAAACCATGCTATGATTTTATGACAAAAGAGAAGTTAAAAATTGCTGTAAGAATCATAACAACAAACTGGAGCCTGGGAACAAGTGACAATCTTGTCCCAGCTTTCTCCTCCAGGAGGACACCAAGGCTTATATGCCAACACAGCTTTTCCCTTTTTTTTTTTTTCTTTGCAGAGTCCCCAGCTCTGCTGCTGCCTGCTCCTTGGGTTGCTCTTGGTAGCACTAGACGTTGTAAAATGCAGTCGGGGTCTCAGGTGGCAGCAGCTGCTCATGCAAATTACCCCAACATGATTATTCTCTATTCAAACACGGAGCTTATTCCAATTTATTTCGCTTCTGACTTTCTCCCCCTTCTTAACAATCATCTTTTTACGAACACAGAGCAACAATAACTCTCCTTATCTCTCTCCTCTAAGCAGGGGAAACTCCTGGAGCACAGCAAGCAGGAGCTGGCAGGGACTTTGTGGTTAGTGGTTTTTCCTCAGAGCCTGATTTCTGCCTTGGGAAGCCTTTAGAACTTCCTGCACCACCTGTTAACTCTGTCCTGATTAGGGATCGCTTGCAGCTCCTTTACTTGCCCTCCTAATTAGGGTGTTCACCTGCTGCTGAAAAGGCTGAGAGAGATGGGGTGTTCAGCCTGGAGAAGAGAAGGTTTTGGGAGACCTTAGAGCAGCTTCCAGTGCCTGAAGGGGCTTCAGGAAAGCTGGGGAGGGACTTGGGATAAGGGCAGGGGATGAGGGGGGAATGGTTTGAAGCTGAAGGGGGGGAGACTGAGATGAGATTTGGAGTAGAAATGCTTGGTTGTGAGGGTGGTGAGAGCCTGGCCCAGGTTGCCCAGGGAAGCTGTGGCTGCCCCATCCCTGGGGGTGTTGAAGGGCAGGTTGGATGGGGCTTGGAGAAGCCTGGGCTGGTG